CTGGTGTGCAGGGAGAGCTCCGCCGCAGCAGGTTTCCAACCTCAGTGGATTCGATAAAACAGCAGCTCACCCACTCACTAGGGTGAGAAACGGTTTCCAAGGTGGTATTTTAGAGCATTCTATTACGTGTATTTGGTGGTGGAATGAAAGATCCAGATGAACTTTAAGAACAAATGAAATTTCACAGAAAATCTGAACTTTTACAACTGCTTCTGTCTGGATCCCCAGGTCCGTCAGAATACCAGGTTCCCTGTCTTCTGATGATGGGCCCACTTCGGTGGGAATTTGGAAAGTACCCCTCGTGTTACGTTGTCCAACGGTATTGTGACATTTTCAGGCAACATTGCTTTACTTCATTTTGACTTACACACTAGCTTTGACATTTCCCCCTGAGAAGTTTTTTGTTGTTTTATTTAAGTAGCATGTTAGGAATTTCGAGGACATCTGATAACCTTTGTTGAAGTGTTAATATGAATAGTAGCAAATACTTGCTGTGTGTCTGGTACCCTTCTAAACAGTTTATTTACATAACTCATCTATACCTCCCACCAACCTTTATAGGTACTGTTATTGTCCCCATTATATATATGTCTATCTGTGTTATAATTGCAGATAATTATAGGCAGAGAAGTTAAGGAGTCTGCCCAAGCTCACACAGGCTGTGAGTTGTGGAACCAGAACTTGGGAGTCCCCTCAAACATCCACATGCACTTATAGATTAACTGTGTGAAATAGTCATGTCACTGTGTAATGTCACTCTGTGCTTCTTGAATTGTTTCTACAGTAAGAAATACATTTTGTAGGTTAACTGTACGTACATAGACATAACTGAATTAAAGATGCGCTGAGCAGGGCTTCCCTGGTGGCGCAGTGGTTGGGAGTCCGCCTGCCGATGCAGGGGACACGGGTTCGTGCCCCGGTCCGGGAAGATCCCACATGCCGCGGAGCGGCTGGGCCCGTGAGCCATGGCTGCTGGGCCTGCGTGTCCGGAGCCTGTGCTCCGCAGTGGGAGAGGCCACAACAGAGAGGCCCGCGGACCACAAAAAAAAAAAAAAAAAAAAAAAAAAAAAGATGCGCTGAGCAATACTTACGTTCTGTGAGCTCTTCTCTTTTTCACTCCTTTGAAGAGTTCCGGTTACCACTTACTAAGCTGATTTCATGGCCCACACGTTAATGGATTGCAGTCCTCAATTTGAAAAATATGCATCGTGTAGATAATGATCAAATGTAATACTGTATTTCCTTGTTTTAAAGTGAACGAAAATGCTTGGAAATGAAATACGTGCAAGCACCAGGCTAGATCATTGAATAAATGTCCCTATAAAAGCATTGTGCTGAAACTGAGAGCTGAAATTCGGTCCTTCACAGGTAAAGCTCGTTTATGTGGACGAACCAGTCAGTCTGCACGGCACCTGCTAAATAGTAAGAGGTTAGGGTCACCTTCACGCTTCCTAAAGCAGTTTATACCAGTGATGCTCGAGTCATCCCACTGGAAGGCACATAGTAATTAAAATAGGAAGAATCTGTATTCTAATGGACTTAAGATTCAGTTATAACTTGGACAGTACTTAAAGCTTTGAGTGCTTGTATTTGGATTTTTAGGATTGAAAAGACTTATTAATTAGTTGTTCAAGTACCAAGAATAAAAATTGTATCCTAATTCCTAAGATGCTCATAGGAGAAAATTCCATACTTAATGGCATCCAAAATTTCTCATGATTATAAAATTGTATGTGTGTTTGAGGGAATGAGTTGAATTAGCATATTTCTATATATAATTAGAAGGACAAAGATTGATCTCAAGGAGAAAGCAGCTATGTTCCCTCGTTTAGTATAAGTTTGAGGACCTACTAATTTCAAAGCTCTGCTAGTCTTTAGGAAGTGGGAGAACTCATAAAACAAACCGTGAAGGTTTAAATACATGTGCTCACATCCTACCCCAGGATGGTGGGTCCTTGCTTCTTCACTTTCCAAGCCATCCGTTTTACAGTTTTTATCGCCTGTTTGAATAATTTCTCTTAAGTTTTATACATAACGTAAATGGTGTGCCTCCCCCCTCCCCATTTTTCTCAGTACTGTTACTGTGCTGGGAGAAAATGAAATGACATGTAATTAACATGTTCTAGCATGCTTCTTTGTAGTTCTGTATGCTGATGGGCTGGGTGGGTTTGGGGTTTTTTTGTTTTTTGTTTTTTTAATAAATCTATTTATTTATTTTTGGCAGCACGCGGGCTTTCTCTAGTTGCAGCGAGCGGGGGGTACTCTTCGTTGGGATGCACGGGCTTCTCATTTCGGTGGCTTCTCTTGTTGTAGAGCACAGGCTTCGGGCACACAGGCTTCAGTAGTTGTGGCACACGGGCTCAGTAGTTGTGGTGCACGGGCTTAGTTACTCTGTGGCATGTGAGATCTTCCCGGACCAGGGCTCGAACCCGTGTCCCCTGCATTGGCAGGCAGATTCTTAACCACTGCGCCACCAGGGAAGTCCTGGGTTTGGTTTTTTTTTTATGTGTCATCAGTGATTCAGACGTGTCCCCAAAATATTTGCAATCATCATTTCCCCAGTCTTTCTGAAGCCCTGCAGTGTGCCGGGACACTGTGTTTGGTGCTGAGGATTTAGCTGTGAATTAGGCCCCTGCCTTCCAACCACAGAGCAGAGCCCATGAATCAGAAGTATTCTATTAAAGTCTGAAGGTCTGGGGCCAGATATTTTGTTCACAAAGAAGAACCAGTTATTGATACACTTTCCATTTTTACAGTAACAGGTATAAATGTAAAATCTACTTATTGACGTATCCATTATTCAGGTAGCAATAATTATCAAAATAGCCTAATTTTCAATTAAGAAAAATAAGCAAATATAGTATTTGATATTCAGTACTAGCTTTTTGTTTACTCATGTTTTCTAGATTATAAAATGCAAGTTATTTCATGAGCAAAATATAAAGATCAAAAGTGAGCCTCTACTTTTATTGTTTTGATTTTTTTAAGACTTTTTTTTTTTAAGCAGTTGTAGGTTCACAGCAAAATGGAGAGGAAGGTATAGAGATTTCCTATATACTCCCTGCCCCAGCACATACACAGACTCCCCCGTCATCAATATCCCCCACCAGCGTAGTACATTTGTTACAACCAGACCTCCATTAACACATCATAATCACCAAAGTCCATGGTTGACATGAGGGTTCACTCTTGGTGGTGTACATCTTGTGGGTTTGGACAAGTGTATAATAACGTGTATCCATCACTGCAGTACCGCACAGAGTAGTACACTGCCTTAAAAATCCTCTGGGGTCTGCATACTTACTTCCCCACCCCGAACTCCACCAAGCTCCTCGCAGCCCCTTAAAACTTTTCACTGTCTCCTTAGTTTTGCCTTTTCCAGGATGTCATAGTTGGAATCACACAGTATAGCCTTTTCAGGGTGGCTTCTTTCACTTAATAATATGCCTTTAAGTTTCCTCCATGTCTTTTCATGGCTTGATGGCTCATTTCTTTTTAGTACTAAATAGTATTCCGTGGTCTGGATGGACCGCAGTTTATTTATCCATTCACTCCGAGGGACATCTTGGTTGCTTCCAGGTTTTGACAATTAGGAAAAAAGATGCCATAAAGATCTGTGTGCAGGTTTTTGTGTGGACATTAGTTTTCAGCTCCTTTAGGTAAATACGAAGCAGCACATTAATGGCTGAATTGCTTGGTAAGAGTGTTCTGTAGGAAACCACCAATCTGTCTTCCAGAGTGGCTGCACCATGTTGCCTTCCCATCAGTAGTGATTGAGAGTTCCTGTTGCCCCACCTTCTCACCAGCATTTGGTGTTGTCAGTGTTCTGGATTTTGGCCACTCTAATAGGTGTGTAGTAGTGTCTCGTTATTTTAATTTGCATTTTCCTGATGGTGACATAATGTGGAGCATCTTCTCATATGCTTATTTGCCATCTGAATATCTTTGGTGAGGGCTTTGGCGCATTTTTTAATCAAGTGGTTTTCTTACTGAGTCCTAAGAATTTTTGTATTATTTTGGTTAACAGTTGTTTATCAGATGTTTCTTCTGCGAATATTTTCTCCCAGTCTGTGGCTTGTTTTCTCATTCTCTTGACAGTGTCTTTCCCAGAGCAGAAGTTTTTAATTTTAGTGAAGTGCATCCTATCAATGATTTCTTTCATGGATCCCGCCTTTGGTGTTGTATCTAAAAAGTCACACCTCACCCAAGGTCATCTAGGTTTTCTCCTGTGTTGTCTTCTAGGAGTTTTATAGTTTTGCTCTACTTTTCTTTTTAAGGAAGGTTTTGCAAATGTTGCATGAATAATGTTCAACATACCAAAAGTGTCCTTGCATTTAATGGGTTAATCATTTTCTGACCAAGATCAGGTGAGTTAGATGGTTTCACCTCCTACTACACTATTGTTTTTTGAGAAGGAAGGGAGAAAAAGAGCTATTGGCTGGGAAATTCCTACTAGGTACCAGCCATAGAACTAGGCCTTTTTACATACGATGTCTCATTTAAAGCTCTGTATCAGCTCTGGGAAGTTGTTTGGGTCTTTAGTTTCAAATGAGTTAACAGAATTAGAGTTGGCACTGAAGGAACCAAGCGAGCCCTTCTAAGTGAATCCGACTAGCAGTGCTCCCTGGTTTGGGGTTGTCTGGATTTGTCTGTTCTCTGTAGTAATCGGTGTAGTATTTTCTCAGTCCCATGTGGGCTTGATCGGAGTTGGGGGTCATCTTGAGATCACCAAGGGGACCCCTGTAAGAGGGCAGTGGGAACTTCAGATCAGATTTTGAATTCAAGGTTTCATACGTTCAACTGTGAGACATTGCACAGAAGTTTTATTATGAGACAGCTGTTGTAATTATCATTGGTTGTATATTATTTTTGAATAGGATATGTGATTTGTCTTAGAAGTTGAAACATGATAGTTGTCATGTTGTATTCAAATAAAAGTTGTAACAGTTATGCTTGTATACTGGCCTTAGGATTTAAAAAGGAACACTCATGTCTCTCACTTGCGTTGTGTAACGGCGGATGGGGTAATAAGTCATCGCGTTGTCATCGTCCGAGCTAGTCCTGGGTCCTCCTGTGAGACCGGGTGTCAGGAAAGGCAGGTTTCCAGGGGCCCCAGCAGCAGCAGAGCCGGCACCTTCTCCCAGCCATTAGGGGGCGTCTCCACGTGGCTGCAACCGGCTCCCACTCTGGAGCTGCATTTTCAGAGGCGCCTTCTCCTGGCACCTGCCACAGTCAGCGACTTTCATCCTAGACTTTCTCCCTGATGGATCGCAGCCGTTGACCCTGTCGAAGACCAGACGTTTCGTCCGGCTCTCCTCCCCGAGCTTCTGTTCTCTGGCCTCTGGTTCTCACGCCTGTGTCCGTCCCCCGTCCCCGCCG